AATTAGTGAAAGTCATAAATTATTTTTAATTTAAATATTTTATCTTAATGACCTAAAATATTTTTTAAAATTTGTAGATTTTCGTTAGAGTGTCGTAGAAAAAATATACTGTACAACTCGAGCGATATGGCTATTATATCCACTCTTGTTGCACAAACTACTATTGTGCTTTTTCCAAATATTTAACGACTGGTAGTGTGTTCTTATAATAGTCCAAGAGCCAGTGACACACATTTCATTAGGTGTTTGATGCACTTTGAAATTTTGTAATTTGAAATCATTTGGATGGAAAAGCAGATATACCTGTGTTGACTTGACCTACCCCGGGACACCAGGTACTGTCGTAAAATATGACCCAAAAAAAGTGTTTGATTCACGCTCAAATTTTAATAGCGTCTTAATTAAATATAAAAAAAATTAATTCCAAAAAGGCAGACACTTTTTCCGGGGTTTAATTGCCGGTCAACATAAAAATAAGTCTTATCGCTGATCACACTACAGCTGTATCGGCCGTTCATACAAGGGAAGTGCAACCAACTTGACAAAATAAAATTGACACTAATGACATAAGAAATCGGGTCACATAAAGAGGCTGTTTTTTAGTTTGCTTTATGGTATTTCCTATCTACTTTCATGCCATTTGCATACCTTGTTGTACCCGTAACGTGAAAAAGACTTTTTAGTTTAGGTTATTTTACATTTAAAGGTTGAAAACATTTGTCACTATCAGCTGTGGATAATATCAAAACATAGGCGTAGCAGTGCATTTTATTTTTTGTTGTTAATAGTCTATTTGTGTTTCTCACGCTTCATGAAACATTTTTTTTTATTTGGTTTTATTTATTTATGTCGATTGCACAATGCTGCTACTACGAATACAAGTTCTATACAATATACAATTAACATACAATACTAGTTTCATTATGCCCATCTATGGTTACGCCTGTGTTCTACGAACAACATAATTGAGAGCTGACGATGACAAAATGTTTCATCCTTTAAATGTAAAATAACCTAAACCAAAAAGTCTTTTTCACGTTACGGGTACAACAAGGTATGCAAATGGTATGAAAGTAGATAGAAAATACCATAAAGCAAACTAAAAAACAGCCTCTTTATGTGACCCGATTTCTTATGTCATTAGTGTCAATTTTATTTTGTCAAGTTGGTTGCACTTCCCTTGTATGAACGGCCGATACAGCTGTAGGGTGATCAGCGATAAGACTTATTTTTATGTTGGCCGGCAATTAAACCCCGGAAAAAGTGTCTGCCTTTTTGGAATTAATTTTTTTTATATTTAATTAAGACGCTATTAAAATTTGAGCGTAAATCAAACACTTTTTTTGGGTCATATTTTACGACCCCTATCTATTATGCGCAGTACCTGGTGTCCCGGGGTGGGTCAAGCCAACACAGGTATATCTGCTTTTCCATCCAAATGATTTCAAATTACAAAATTTCAAAGTGCATCAAACACTTAATGAAATGTGTGTTACTGGCTCTCCGGCTATAAGAATAAACAAATTAATACATTTTTTTGAAAAGATAGAACTGCATTTTGTTTCTTATTAATACCCAATAAATTAGGGTAAGTTGTAGAAAATACATGTGCCAAATTTCAATAACATATAAGGGTGGTTGGTAAGAAAAACAAGAAAGAAATTGAAAAAGTTACTACCTGTACTTCAGTCTTAATGGCGAAAGAATCATTAAGTAAGGTTGTTTAGAATCATATCAGTAGTCCAAAAAAAAATAAGTAGTAAAAAAAGAGTGTGTGTTATTGAATGCACGAGAAAAGTGAAACTTCTTAGATTAATTCACTCTAAAATAAAAAAAAGACTGAAATAAAATCTGCGTACACTAATATTTATCGCACAGCTACATGAACATACTATTAAGGTGTCAGGACATTAAAATTTGTCGTTTTTATGAATTATCTCATCATATTTTTCTTATCATTACGAACGAAGGGTTAGTTATTTATTTTTATTTAGCTTATTAATTTATTTTAATTGGTCATTTAAATTTTTTTAAATTTATTTAATTTTTTTTTATATTGATTTAAATTTATTTTAATTTATTTTAATTTATTTTAATTTATTTTAATTTATTTTAATTTATTTTAATTTATTTTAATTTATTTTAATTTATTTTAATTTATTTTAATTTATTTTAATTTATTTTAATTTATTTTAATTTATTTTAATTTATTTTTAATTTATTTTAATTTATTTTAATTTATTTTAATTTATTTTAATTTATTTTAATTTATTTTAATTTATTTTAATTTATTTTAATTTATTTTAATTTATTTTAATTTATTTTTAATTTATTTTAATTTATTTTAATTTATTTTAATTTATTTTAATTTATTTTAATTTATTTTAATTTATTTTAATTTATTTTAATTTATTTTAATTTAATTTATTTTAATTTATTTTAATTTATTTTAATTTATTTTAATTTATTTTAATTTATTTTAATTTATTTTAATTTATTTTAATTTATTTTAATTTATTTTAATTTATTTTAATTTATTTTAATTTATTTTAATTTATTTTAATTTATTTTAATTTATTTTAATTTATTTTAATTTATTTTAATTTATTTTAATTTATTTTAATTTATTTTAATTTATTTTAATTTATTTTAATTTATTTTAATTTATTTTAATTTATTTTAATTTATTTTAATTTATTTTAATTTATTTTAATTTATTTTAATTTATTTTAATTTATTTTAATTTATTTTATTTTATTTTATTTTATTTTAATTTATTTTAATTTATTTTAATTTATTTTAATTTATTTTAATTTATTTTAATTTATTTTAATTTATTTTAATTTATTTTAATTTATTTTAATTTATTTTAATTTATTTTAATTTATTTTAATTTATTTTAATTTATTTTAATTTATTTTAATTTATTTTAATTTATTTTAATTTATTTTAATTTATTTTAATTTATTTTAATTTATTTTAATTTATTTTAATTTATTTTAATTTATTTTAATTTATTTTAATTTATTTTAATTTATTTTAATTTATTTTAATTTATTTTAATTTATTTTAATTTATTTTAATTTGTTTTAATTTATTTTAATTTATTTTAATTTTATTTAATTTATTTTAATTTATTTTAATTTATTTTAATTTATTTTAATTTATTTTAATTTATTTTAATTTATTTTAATTTATTTTAATTTATTTTAATTTATTTTAATTTATTTTAATTTATTTTAATTTATTTTAATTTATTTTATTTTAATTTATTTTAATTTATTTTAATTTATTTTAATTTATTTTAATTAATTTATTTTAATTTATTTTAATTTATTTTAATTTATTTTAATTTATTTTAATTTATTTTAATTTATTTTAATTTATTTTAATTTATTTTAATTTATTTTAATTTATTTTAATTTATTTTAATTTATTTATTTTATTTTAATATATTTTAATTTAATTTCGTTTGATGTTTTTTTAATATAAATTACAATCGTTCACTCACCCATTGTTGATACACCTTGTATCAATATAGATGCATGTAATATATATTTATTAAATAGTCACAGAGAGTGAATGCATTTAAGAAACTTGTTGGCTTCATGCGAAACCCAAGAAAAAATTTTGGCAGCTTATGTGTTAACATAAAATAGATCTTAAAATGAAAATCCAAATATATCTAAAATAAATTTTTTGGATGTCACATAACCTAGTGTGTAAAGTTCTAATATACTCTAAGGTGGATGTCAGATAGTCGGGTGAGTAAGTTTTAATATACTGAATGTTGGATGTCAGACAGTCGAGTGAGTAAATTCTAATATACTTAATGGTGGATGTTAGACAGTCGATGGACTGAAATATTTAATATACAAAATATACAAAACCAACTGACGCGAGCGCCACCTTCACATCTATACACTGGAACTAAATTTATACACAAAATTGAAAATCAAGCATTATGACATCCAGCTGAAATTTGCTTGGCGCTCTTTTAAACCTCTTTTATGATGTTTGAACCCCAAAAACGTTGTGACATCCGAATTTGGATGTCACATCGCAAACGGATGTCATAAAGATACCAACATTTTTGCGACATGATGTCACAACGTCGGCAGGACGAATCTATATATATATATATATATATATATATATATATATATATATATATATATATATATATATATATATATATATATATATATATATATATATATATATATATCTATAGTTAAAAGCACGTAAACTTGGCATCAATGTTCAATCCGATTATTGAATTTCTACCGCGGACACCACCGTTCATTCTTCAAAAATTTTGTAAATAATCCTATCTGTCTTGGTTATATATCTACGATTTTCCTCTTGATCCCACCCGAATTCTCACTTCGCGTCCACTCGGTATTATTCATCACGATCACCGTTATTGAACAATAATGATTGGCTGCTTTTAAAATTGTGCAGTTAAAAAACCAAATGGACGATTTTTATTATTTCCATTCAAGTGGGACCTGTTTTGATTAAATACGATTCCTTTCAGAGCCATTTTGAATTTTTAAAAACTTATTTAGGATCTGTAATCTTTGACTTCTCAGATACCAATTTTAGTCGAAATCTGCCGACTTTTAAAAACTGCTCACCATATATATAACTGATCGAAAGTAGAACTGGGTTTGAGCTACAAAGGAACCTTATCTGCATACAAAATTTGATATAAAGCCGTTTTTGAGCTATCGTGCCAACAGACAGACCGACGGAATGGGGAATCGTTTTTCATAATCTAGGGACCCTAAAACATGAAAATCTGAAATAATCTCGGAAGGTGACTTTCTAACGATTACAATACTTCCCTTTTATAGAAGGAAGTAATAAAAAATTAACAAAGTACTTATGTGAAGAAGTTTATTTTTAGGTTTAGCAGTTTATCATATAAAATAATGTGCAATGTGAATATTTTTCGTTACAGATTCAAGCCATGATAGGAGCAAACTAAACCAATGTATCTTTGCTGCTAGATAGTTCAAATATGCAGAAATTTTATTCATGACAATTTTTCTAGTAGTATGTTTATTTTATATGCACTGTGTTTTTCTGTTGTATCGTAATAACATATATTTTAGGATTTTTGTAAAACAAAAATTTTATTTAAAAAATTGCTATTTTCTTTGCTTAATCCTGTGGCGTAGCCAGAAATTTTTCATGGGAGGGGTTTCTGAGAACTATGGGGGTGTTAACAAACAGGTAATAGCGATCAGCGCCAATAAGATAGCGGAAACGGCGAAGCGAAGGCCCTCAATGAGGAGGGGTTCTGACCCCCCGTGGCTACGCCACTGGTTTAATCAAATGCAATCTAACTGCCAAATGACCTAAATAATTCGGACGGAGAAAAGAACAAATAGGGAAGGAAATTTGATAGATTTCATATTTTTTTTTATGTACTTCTATTTTTTGTTAATAAATGGCAGCACTTCACAGCCTGTATTATTTATTGTCCTGTTTAAATGTGGTTTCTGAATTCTATTATTTTAAGAGCAAAACCACTCCTCTCATGAAAAGCAAAAATGTGAAGATTTTCTAATATAAAATTATATTTATAAGCGCACCACTGGAATACATCGTGATGTTGTGTTTCGAAAATATTGAGAGATTTAAATGTGTGCAATGATAAGGCAGCAGTCTAGAGACATTTAAAAAAAATGTGGGAACCCTCTCATTTAAAGACTACTTTATTAAAACAAAAATCTGATGTATCCAACACATGACTTTCCTATCTTGTTATTACAGGCTTTTTCCAGTTATTTTGTACAACCTCTTGTAGCACCTCTGTAAATGTTTAGAGGATAAACTAAATATATACATTTTCCACATACTTCTAAATCAAAATTACATATATACCTAAATGGGAGTAAAGTTTAAAAAACATGTCAGTAGTGTGGTCTTATCGACTTTCAACTGAATTTATCATACTATACTAGAGCTGAAATACTAGGATATATTATCCAGTTTATGCTGTGAATGATACAACTAAAATCTGCTGTATATTAAAGAGATTGAAACAAAATATAAATTTATAGAATATAATTGAAGTCAAATGGATACCGAATAACCACTCTAAATAAATAACAGATTAATAACTTCTTAACCTACAATAAATCTTATAATGTAACTTCACCCCCGTCTTCCACAATACCCTCCATATCTTCATCACTAGATCGCATGTCTTCAGCAATAGTTTCTTCTTGTTTCCTTTGTTTAAGACCAGCAGCAGGAGATCGGATTAGGGAAAGATCTCTTTGCACTTCTTTGACATCTCTTTCCTGTTCAATTTCTCTACCCTTCCTTAACCTCTGCATAATATAGGCTCCCTGTCTCTTCTGTTTGATTTTTTCTACCGTCTTCATTGCTTGAATGGCTTTAGTCCAAGTTTCTCTGTCATATTTAACTGGGATGTGTCTCCTCTTTTCGAACTCAAATGCTGGGTCTATGGCTAATTCTTTGCCGACTGTTTTCCTATACGCTTTGGTCCATTTGACTTTACGTGGATTCTTTTTCTTTTTGAAAGCTGCGTGACATTTTGAACGACAAAATTTAAAGATCTACAATGAACAATAGCTTAAATTGAAGTTAACGAATTAATGAAAAAATCCTTTACCTTGCAATCATTTCTAACAAATTGTATCCCATGGCCAGGGTATATTCTGGATGAACAAAAGTAACATGTTTCAATACGCATTTTTGTGCTTTATTTCACAACAACACGTGCAACAAAAGACTTTGATTTGACGTCTTGACACATGAGGTTCTTTCCACAGAACACTTACTCTGTTCATTCGTTCGCTATCGGTGCAGTGCACCAGTGTAAATTACACCACCTTAGGTTCTTTCGGTCGCTATTGGTGCAGTGTCCACCAGTGTAAATTACACCACCTTTATTTACCTACTTTAGATGCAAAGGAAAAGACCTAATTTATCTATGGGGTGCTTTTAAATGACATTTAAGCGTGTTAAACTGTCACTAATCGGACTAAACTTTACCTAATCTATGGACTACCGAACGCTAAAAGGGTCGTTTGGAGTAAATAGTGTTAAAGGAACTTGGCAGACCGAACGCAATGAAAGGAAATGACCTAACATGTCAAAACCCACTGGTAGCCATTTTGTTTGGTAGTTTGTTATGGTTTGATTTTTGTATTGATTACAAAGTGAAAAATTTATATTTTAAATTTCGTTTTATCTCACCAATAATTATAAAATGGACGATTCTAGAACGGTTTTCTGTGGTAACATTTCTGATAAAGTAACAGAAGAACTGCTATTTGAACTTTTTCTACAAGCTGCTCCTTTAGAAAGAGTTAGAATACCCACTGATAAAGAAGGCAGAAAGTCCAATTTTGCCTTTGTTACTTTCAAACACGAAGAATCGGTTACATATGCTCAGCATTTATTGAACGGAATTAGAATGTATGATAAATGTATACAGATTAAACCAAGACACAATTCAGCAAATAGGCTTCCTGAGAAAAGTGATATCCTTTCAAGATTGGGATCGGCACCCCTACATAATCAGTTTCAAAGCAGACAAGACACTAGGGAAAGTTACAGTTCCAGAGGTCAGTTCAGGGATCATTATAGAGATGAAAGTCCTAGAAATTACAGAGAGGACAATCAACGTGATAAACCTTATAATAGACATGATTCTGAGAGAAATGAAAGATACGATTCAAATAGAAGAAGGCAGAATTATAATGATAGAAGAGGAAATTTTAATGATCGAAGGCAAAGAAATAGAAACAATTATTACTAAAACCATAAAACATTGACTAAACTCTATGAGTTTTGTAAATAATACGCAAAATAAATTTTATGGAAAATCCTATTTATTGTTCATATTTTTTAACAAAACACCAATCTGGAATTATAAATTGTTTTTAAATTCATTAATGTTTTTCAATTTGATGTTCTCTATGTTGTTTTTGTAAGAGCATAAGCTTAATAAACTTCTGATATTCATGTTTTTGAGGTGCAGCTGCTGGTAAATAATGTCCGCCTGGATGTTTTACTATTACCGGTTCTTCAAAACAATTGCTTAGAGCTTCACTCATTTCTAAAAAAAATATATATATATATATAAGAATAACTGGAATGAAAAAAGATAATTGTTACCTGTTGGAATTATTTCATCATTTTCTCCAAAAATGTGCAAAGAAGGTAAATGTATCCTATCGAGATAATATTTTAAATGTGGTAAACTTCCTGATTTAAAACCGGAAGACATGATTGCAAAATCGAATCTAATATTTATAACTAAAACGACAATAATCAGTCAACAATAATTTAGAAATGTTAAACTTACGTCCTCTTTGTTGTAAATCACAGAGTAATCCTGTTAAACAAGCCCCCTGTGAGAAGCCAAGTATTCCATCAAATGGGCCTTCTTTTTCAAATACGTCTTCTATTAATTTTATGGTATCCCCAAAACCTACTGCTGGCCCACCTTTCCTTATGCCCCTAAACGTATTGTCTTCTCTATTAAAAAACCATCCATATTGTTCTAAATTTAAAATGAGTAGTTTAGATATAAATTATTTCGTAGATACTTTTTACCTTCATCTTTACTTTCCCCAATATCGGGAGCTTTTTGTCCAATATCATTTGAATCTTCAACTACAATAACACTGTGAGGAGCTGTAATATATGTAATTTGAGCCCATTTGTGTATCATTTTACGAAATGAACCTGTTTTTGCTTTAAATGTTTCAGCATTCTGTCTGTAACCATGTATAGCTAGTATTTTAAGTTTCATGTTGTCGCTCGGGCAACATAACGTAGCTTCTTGGTTTACAATACTCATGTCTCTACCTGAAAATTATATCAATACCTAATTCAAAATAAGTTTAAATTAAATTAGCAGAATAATTCTTATTGTAATCTGCATTTTAGGTTATGTAAACCAGAAAGAGCACAGATTTGGTTCGTCCGGCTAAGGAAGGCTTTGACGTCACGGAATAAAAAAATCGAGTTGACAGAAAATATTCTGCTGCGGTACGTAAATTAGTTTTTTAAAAATCTAATATTTTATTAATGTTTATATTTTTATTTTTGGACTATACACCTGCGTTGAAGTTTTTATAAAATCAGTAATCTGATTTTTTGAAAGACAAGCTATAAAACAGCATGGAAAGGAAAAATCATGCAATGATTCCATCAAATTTCTAATGAGTTTTTTATTTGAATTATAAACAGAAATATTATTGTGTAAATGGTTTATTTTAAACATTTTGGATTAGGGTGCGGCCTCCGAGCTGAATTCGGATCACTTGTTTAATCGAATTAAAGTACGGGTTTTGAGCTTACATTAAATTGTAATTAGATGAAACAAAATGGATTCTATGTATTTTGAGGTGATTTTTTCGAAAAAAAGGCAAAACAAAATGTAGCTGTTTTTGGAAAGTGCCGAAATTTTGGATTTTGTCAATTTTTCAATTTGCGCAGGCGCATGTCGGAAATAAATCAATATTTTCAAAACGCAGTTTACGACATTTGAAAGCTTAGGAAAAATGCTAATTTTCATGTCTCTTGATCCGATGCACCGTTCTCGCGGTATGGACGATTGAAATTTGTTTAGCATTTTGAGGCGGCGAAGGTCGAAAAATTGAATTTGTTAAATGTTCAAACACTAAATTTTTCATAACTTTGGTAAAAATTAAGATATTTGAAAAATCAAATATGCGTTTTGAACTTAAGGGAGGTGACTATTGATTCCCAGAAGGGGGCAAGAGAAATCCCAAAATTGGGCATATGGCGGAAGGGCAAAGTTTACCGCGGGCCTAATTTCATTGTTTGCCTATAACGGCCAAAATATTTAATTTTTTTTAATGTCACTTACAGAGCTTACTCTTGAATATAAAATCTTATACGTGTGTGAATTTCACCGAAATCGGATTATAATTGGCCAAGATATCAAACAATTAAACAAATTTTTTTCCCCAAATTTTTTTTTTTTTTCGAAAGTTTGAAGTGACACAAAAATGCCAAAAATGCACCCAATGGCTAAAAACTTTTTTTTTTAATTACTTTATTGTGTCTAGAATACGATTACATTTTACGGAAAATTCTGCAAAAATATTTTATCTATTTTTTTGACCACTGTTCATTGAGTGACAACCAAAAAACATGGTTTTTGAGAAAAGTTGCCTAAAATTGTCGATTTTCAGTTCTTTGGTCTGAAAATTGAGCAAACCCAAATTTCATGTCTTCTGAATGTGTATACAAAGTTTAAAGTGTGTATGTTTCTCCTAAGTTGTAGAATTCTCCCGACAAAAGTCCCATTACACGCGCTCCGCGGGATCCAAAACTCGTGTATACACTGCATTTCTGTAATTTGATTTTTTTGTGATTTCCAGTTTTAAATTTCACTTAAATTTATTAGGCCTAAAATTTATTAAATTGTATTTTACTGACTTGTTATAAGACGTTTCTTGAGTTTTGTGCAAAAAATAGTACCGCAAAATTAGCCGCACGTCGTATCAAGGATAGCCATGGTCTCGGCGTTCGCTATCCGACAAGTTTAAACTTCAAACGGTCATATTATTACAAATTGAATCGCTTGATAGTGTTCATCGGCATAGATTTTTAATAACCGTGTTCAGCAAGCTCTGTGTACACGTGGTTTTTCGGACTTCTTCAGCAATTTATTGAGTAAGTACGTTCCTAAATTAAGAAAATTCTATCACAGTGCTATAATTTTTTTGTTTCCAGGTTGTAATGGCTGGCCAGTGTTTATTATGTCATCAGACTCTTGCAGAACCCAATTAGACCGAAAGGATTGAAAGGTCTGCAGACGGTCAGCAAAGAGGGGGGATGATTTTTTCAGTTCTTTAGAACCAGGTTTTATATTGCATGAGATGCGTGTCGCAAACATTACGTAGCTCGACGTTACGGAAAAGAGTTTATTTATAAAACCTGGGATAGGCATAAAAGGGCCGCGATTGACAATGCCATAAAAAAGGAGGATGGAGCATCAACCGAGAAGAAAACCAGATGTTAGAGAACAAAAAACAAGCTTATCACCAAGTTGGAACTTACACTCAGGATGAATTTCCTAACATTTTTAAAGTATACATTTTTGTGTATTTTTTTGTGTTCTTTCCGATGGCGCAGTTAGTTTTTCAAATTTATTTTTTTTAGATATGTTTTCGGAAAACGTAGAGAAAATCATATGGGAAAAAATTAAAAAAAACTACGATTTCCGGTTTCCTGCGAATTCGCGAAAAAATGTGGCAGATTTCGCCGCGGGACTAATTTTATTTGAGAGCCAACAAAAAAATACGCAACTTCTCTCATGGGCACATATGTCTAACATTTATAATCTCGCCACAAATTCATCGCAAATTTCATGTTCATGGTTTTGATCAAAGAAACGAAAAATTTTTTTGGTAAAAGCACTTCTGGCGGCGAGAAATTTGCCATTAAAACTACCTGTGCAAAGAATTTCTGAACTATTTTTGCCTCCTCTTTCGATTGGTGCATTTATTTTTACTATCAGAATGATACTTGCCCAGATAATTATCATTTTTACAATGGAACATTCCGGAAACCCCGTTTTTTCCTAATTTAAAAAAAAATGAAAAACAGCTACATCTTTTTTTTCTTTTTTTCGGAAAGATCTCATCAAAATACACAAGGTCCACTTTGTTTCATCCAATTACAAATTATTGTAAGCTTGAAGGGGCTTTTTTTCGTTATTTAATTGGACTATTATATCCCCAAATATTTTGAAATTTTGGCAAGCCTGTAGCTAGCCGTAGTGTTGCTGTTGCCTGCCAAACCAAAAGTGCCAATTTTTTTTTTTAATTTTAACCCAGCCATCCTGATTTTTGAAGGATATAATTTAATTAATTGACACATTCAATAAGCATATAAACGGTAAGTTGATAACATTCAAATGCAATTCTATTAATTTCATAATCTTTTTTACGGGAAAATAATTATTTGTCCATGGTTTGAGAAATATTAACCCAACTTATTTAAAGTGTAACTTTTGAAATTTTAAAGCAGTAGTACATGTCCCAGAGGCCAAGTGATTTGCCATATCATGGCTACCTTTTACGCAACTGACAAGGCCCTGAAGAAGCTAAAAATGCTTTTGATCCATCATGGGTTGCGATCACTGAACTGCAGAGTTATTCAGTGGTTGGGATTGGCCATAATCCGTAGAGGCTGAATGGGATCCTAATTTAAACATTTTACATACATTTTATATTGACAAATTCATATCGGCTGTTTTCGATATTTTTTTTTATTTCTGAAAATGCATTGTCAAATAGTTACAATTTAATAGATAGGGGAGACCGGGGATGGTTGAGTACAGGGGTTGGTTGGCACACTCTCATTGGGTCCTATGCTTGAACGTTTACGTTATCCGTAACGTACATGTTAGGCTGAGTTTTAACAGAAACGAGGCAAATTTGTATGATGGAAAACTGTTAAATTAGAACAAAACAGGCAGAAAATAATAGTAATGTGTTGGAAAAAGTTTTCCATCATACGATTGCCTCGTTACTGTTAAAACTCGGCCTAACATGTTCACGTTACGAATAAGGTAAACGATCAATCATAGGACCCATTATTTCTAAATCATGCCGCTAGAGTACGATTTTATACCGTATGCTAACAAGGCCGAGCCGTAATAGGTGTTAGTTATTTATTTTAATTTGTTATTAATTTATTTAAATATATAGGGTGTCCCGAAATTAGACGGTCATGTTTTAACAGCGTAATCTACATCCTAAAATAGGAGTAAAGTTTATATAAACATAGGTCCGAAAACCTTCTGTTTCCGAGATAGAGGATATTAAAAGTGAAGTCCTGATGACACATTTTTGTAAATATTTTCTAAACTTTTAAAGATAACTAAGTGAAATTTGGTACAAATGCTAAACTTTTTACGCTCTATTTAATGGACTAAACGCCAGTTTTTGATCATCTTCATAGGTGGGTAAATTAGGGGAGGGGCTTAGGGTTAAATTGTCCTGTTGACTGTTTTTAACATTTTTGACTATAAAATTTGGAAAACCAATATAAACTTTACTCCTATTTTAGGATGTAGATTACGCTGTTAAAACATGACCGTCTAATTTCGGGACACCCTATATATTTAAATAAATTTAAATAAATTAATAACAAATTAAAATAAATAACTAACACTTATTACGGCTCGTCCTGACATGAAAAATATTATGAGATAATTTATAAAAATGATGCCCTGGCACCTTGACAGCCTAGTCCCCACTTAAAGTCCAATTTCGACTGCGTACGATCGTCGTTCGTGCGTCGTGAATTTAAAATTATAACCTTAAAGGTACCATTTCGGAAGGTGCGACAGACGACAACAGACGCGACAGCAAAGGAGACATGCATTTACGTTACGCTTCACACATTTGGGAAGCAAGGAGACACGTAACACGACAACTGCAGACGACAATTCGAGGGAACGATCAGTGTTGCCATATATCATTTTTTTAGGAGAAAAGTACGTGAAGAACCTTAGCAAATAAATTTTTAGTTTTTTGTATGTACTTATGTATTTTTTTTTAAACTTGCTTTATTTTTAAAATAAAATTTATTTTGTATTTAAGTATGGGTTTTATTTTTTAAACTATGGTACGGCATTACAAAAAAAAAATTGAATATGTCATGAATATTCAAAATACCATGAATATAGGCATACATAGATATCTTCAGTAAATCCAAAAAATATGCCATATACTTATATTTTGGCAGATAAAAACATATCGTGGGCATATGTTTCATGGTGACCTTGAATATTCCTGCAATCTTCCTGTTATATGCCATGGCGGATATGACATATCCATGGAATATAGCAGTATGCAGTTAAGATATGCAATGAATATTCATACAATATTTTTGTGCTGTCTGGGCAGAGCTACTGTTTTTAAGTAGATCCACCGTTTTTGTCTCTGTACTCCTGTTTTAGGCATGAAATTTACTGTTTCCGCCAACTTAACAAATTTTGTTCTTCATTTATTAAGTTTGCCTCATTCTTTAGCAAATGGTCAAAGAATATTTTCTCTAGTAAATTTGCTGAAGTAAAAGCAGTGTAATAAGCATTCATTACTGTAGGTTTGCTCCATAAAAAAAACCTCAAGATAATCATTATGTTTTTATTTAAAATGCAACAAAGATTAATAGGGCATCATATAAAAAAACTTGCATGCCAAACACAACGTATTTGAATTATCTGATTCAGACTGATCTAAAAGAAATACCTCTTATTTTTCATTAGTTTCTTTTTTGTTTCCGTACGTTAAGTATATATTAAAAATATTATTGTTTTTATTCTTTGTTTACTTCCTAATTTGGCTAAAAATATGTTTATTTTTCGTTTCTTATATACTTGTTTTTTTATTCACTACACTGCAAATTATAATTATTTCCCCCTGTATTAAAATCTACTGTTCAGATCTGCGGTTTTTTTTTACCCATACTGTTTCAGCAAATGTTCATCTGGCACACTGCCTAGATCGAAAGAATGCAACTACCATATCTATAAAATATCGACTAATCACCTCGAAATACAAGCGATGACTGAGGGAGACAGACAGCAAACGATACCCCGAGACCGACCTACCTGTCGTCGAGTTCTGTCTCTCGGACGTGTCGCGCCTTACGAAATGTGTTTCATATAATTGCATGTGTTCAGACATGAAGAGACCGTACTTGGTCGCCTTTGCCGTCGCGTCTATTGTTCCGAAATGGTACCTTTATAGTATGCTCATGTAGCTGTGCGATAAATATTGATATACGCGAATTTTATATGTCTTTTTTATTTTAGAGTGAATTAATCTAAGAAATTTCACTTATCCTGCATTCGATAATGCTCTTTTTTTACTACTTAATTTTTGTGTGCTACTGATATGATTCCAAATAACCTTACTTTAATGGTTCTTTCGCCATTTTTGACCGAGACGCAGGTAGTTTTAACTTTACAATTTCTTTCTTGTTTCATAACTTACCAACCACCCTTATATGTTATTGAAATTTGGCACATGTATTTTCTACAACTTACCATAATCTATTAAGGTATTATTAATAAGAAACAAAATGCAGTTCCATCTTTTCAAAAAAATGTTTAAATTTGTCCATCCTTATAACAACACAATACAAGTCGTAAAATTTGTATCCATATTTGTAAAAATCATAAAAAAAATTAATGCTATGCTTTTAATTTTTGGGTAGATGATTTTACTACTAAAATTTACTGTTTTTTTATTATTTTTAAACTAAGAGTTACATATTATGTCGGTACTTCTATGCGTGTACACTTCAATAAAATGTACTTACAAGTCCGTATTTAGGACCAAATATCACAATCATTACTTATTAATGTCGTACCAACATCCATAACCGCTATTAGACTCTAGGAAAAATTGATTTAAAGCATTGCTTTGCCCCTAACTACTACAGAACAACCAAAAAAGACAATTAGCGGGCGGTGTCCCATGCAGTGCAGTGCACACACAATATTTACTATTTATTAATTAAATTAAAACTAATGAGATTATCCATAAAGATACTTGCATTTTTTAGCAGTTCTGCAGCTGCCACTGATAAAAACTATTTGGTATACCTAACCATTAAAGTTCTGTAGGTTTAAAACTTATGTGTATGCTAAAATACTCTAAAACAAGTATTTTAAAAATAGTTTTTATTAAATTACTCAAATCGTTTTTTTTTACTTTTATAGATTTTCAACAATCTGTATTAAAACAACGCTAAATCTTATCTTATTATTCATATAGAACAAATAATGTTTATTGCATAGTCTTATACAATGTTATTGTACATTAAACCTAATATAAGAATGGTTGTAAAAAATAAAAACAATTTCATAAAAATGTTTTGTCTTCCTATCGGCAGCAATAAAGCATGTATTATCCGTCATAATCTGAAATAGTAAACAAAAAAATTAATTTTAACTTGAAAATCATTGTACTCTATTAACCTACCTAAATAATTATTTAAACCTGTCATAAGAAAGAATCCAAGAAAAACTGAAAAAAATTGAAGTAGTCCTGCTGCTTTCTTCTCATGTTGTTGGTGCCATCTAGCACGTTCTCGGGGAAGTACTTCACTAACAGTGACATATAATAAAGTTCCACCTGATAGAGCCTATTTAAAGAAATATATTACCATTAAAGTACCAACCACATATTCTGTCATAAAATGTTTACACAAAAAATTCATTGAATTCTACGAAGGCGTAGAAGGACCACATACACATTTTTACTTTCCTATCTGTATACAGATATAAGGAAAGTATAGGAATCATGATTTTTTCGGCCTCGAGTTTTCGACGGATTTTTACGTTTTGAGGTCCCCTGAATCCGTTTTGACTATTTTTGCGATGATGTGTGTGTGTGTGTGTGTCTGTGTGTCTGTGTGTCTGTATGTCGCATAACTTATGAACCGATACACAGAAAAACACCAAATTTTAAACTTAAGCTTTGTTCCAGCGTCCAATGAACTGATTAGATTTTGAGCAGAGTCGGAACATCTGGGGGGGTACTTTATAGGTGGTCATTTTTATATTTTATGGAATATATCTGTTATTTACGTTTAAGGAAGAAAATTCTTCAAATAAAAGTTACTTCTTATATTATTATCTATAATTTTTGTTCTATACAAAATTTTCCTATAATGGTCCGTATTCGAGAAATTTGACAAAATGTAGAAACGTATTTTTTATAAAAATTGTTCAAATAAAAGTTGTTTGTAATATAATTCTCTATAATTTTTATTCTATACATAATTTCTCTAAAATGGACCGCATTCGAGATATTTAAGAAAATGTGTAAATTTCGAAATTTGGAGAAAACTCAAAAATGGATAAAGAAAAAAACATTAAATTTTAAACTTAAGTTTTATTTCGGCCTGACGTGAAATGATTAGAATTTGGACAAAGTCGGAGCATCTGGGGGGGGGATACTTTATGGGAGGCCGTTTTCATATTTTATGGAATATATCTGTTATTTATGTTTGGAGAAAAAAATTGTTCAATTAAAAGTTACTTTTAATATTATTATCTATAATTTTTTTTTCCTGAAATGGACCGTATTCGAGAAATTTGACAAAATGTGCAAAATTCTGATTTTTATGAAAATTGTTGAACTAAAAGTTGTTTGCGATATCAATCTCTATAATTTTTGTTTATACATGATTTTTCTAAAATGGACCGTAATGGAAAAATTGTAGGCAACGTGCTAAATTTGAATTTTTTCAGTATTTTCGTTTTCAATGAATATCTATAGAAAAATGTTTCGAGGTAGATGTATGTGGAAAATGTATATATTTAGTTTATCCTCTAAACATTTGTAGATGTGCTGCAATAGGTTGTACAAAATAACCGGAAAAAGCCTATAATAACTAGATAGGAAAGTCATGTGTTGGACACATCAGATTTTTTTTATAAATTTTGACTTTAATCTTTAAATTCGAAATTTCAACTAACTCGATATTTCGACTTTAAACATAAAATTTCGATTTCAAAGTTGAAAGTAGGCTATACATAAAGAGGATATTATCTTTACTTCTTCCAAAATATATATAGAGGCCTTCTAGATCAAATCCAGTTTTAAATTCTTGCTATTCCAGGATAACATAAGGATTTTTGAAGTTGATAAAACTTAGATAACCCTTTAGCTACTGCTCGTACTACTTCATATAACTCTAACTCTAAAGGATAAGGGGAAACAGCACTTTTTAAAAAACAATTAAATTCCCACTAGTTGATAATGGTTTACGAATATATCAATGGAAAAAAATTCTGCAAGCGTTACCCTCATTAAAACCAAACAAAATATAACCACATTCTTTATTCAGCAGAAAAAATTCGCTAAAGCATTTCACAGGGAGTTGGAACGAGTAACTTATTCATTTTAGCTTCTTTTTTCACTAATTAATATTTTTATATTTTGCAATGATAATAATTTACTTATAATTTAAGTCATTATGAGTCAACCCCAGAAGTTCTGAAAACTTGTATTGGGGAGGGACGACCATTATTTTTTCGTTTGCTGTGGCACTCTGTATCTGTAACCTGTGGAGGGTGGGTTATCCCACGGCACTTAGACCTCACAAGGTCAATTGCGCATCCTCATAAGAGGATAGGCACCTCCTAGCTCGTGAGCCAGCCTACAGATTTAATGTAGTTGACAAAGTCGCCAAGAGGTGCTTCTCTTATATCGGCCGGGTTAGCCGATATTCGCTGAATACAAACAGAGACAATCCAGCGAGACGTGTAACTCAATGTATTTTTTTTGTTCGGTAAAAGTTATTTGGGCGATTGTAACCACAACCAGTCTATGATGGCGCCACTAGTAAATAGCGGGAAAATTAAAAATGCTTTAGGGCGGAAAATTCAAACATGGATTAAGAAATAAAGTTTTTCTATACAAATTTACAGGAGAAACAAAAACTATTGTTTCACTGTATATTAAAAAAATATAAAAGCTTCCAATAACATCAAATTTTTTATCACATAAATAATCATTTTAATAAAGGAAGTTTTAATCAGTTTAATATAAACAGTGAACATAGTTTTTATTACTCTTGTAAATTTCGCTAAAAAAAAAATTGAAAATTCTATTGATTAGTAAATATTTAAACTTGGAAAAATAATACACCAAACTCTTTTTCTATAAATTATATTTTTGTAAGGTACATAAAAACAAACTACAATTGCTTCATTTAGAAAGTACCTCCTATCATTTTGTAACAAATTACAAAGAAAGTAACAGTTGTTATATATTCATAATATATTTAAAAACTAATGTAACAAATATTTTATAAAGTATAGAATCGATACCTTTTTGCCAGACTATCATAAGTGCCATTTGAACAAATGTCACTTATGTTAGTCTGGCAAAAAGGTATGGATATGTTATGACTGTTTATTTTAATAGAAACCATGGAAACGAAACACACATACACTCAACACAAATGTATAAGGCCCGAGTCAAGTAAGTTCCCATCCTGTAAACTGTATCGAAACCTGCTAGACCCCTGCTAACTCCTCTTATAGTAATCAAGATCAATATATTTATATGCCATGCCTTCTAAAAGGGAATGATGACATACTATCATCATTTAAACAGGACGTTGCTGAAGGCTTACCCCTGTTATTTCGTTTGTTTGTGTATCTTGTGTGTGTGCATTCCTGTTGTGTCCCCAGTCATGTAAAAGTTTTCCTAGTCTCCTAATTTGGTTACTAGGTGGACCTTCTCCAACTAGTAGTCTAATCTATTCGATCTGTTCGGAAGCAGGAGGTACTTTTCAAACATAGCAAATAATATTATTAATAATAAACACTATTTAAAGATAAATACATTTTTGTAATTTTTTTGTCATTGCCCCTTACCTTTCTCTTACATCACCAGGGTATACCTATTTTCCATATTCCCTTAATTATAGATTACCTTACAATGTTCGAATGAATATAACATTTTACTCATGAAAAATCTAATTTCATATTTAACTCTTTTTCAATTTCATTTGAAACAATAATTGGTACCTATATTACAATTTATTATCAAAGAAAATTTCTAATAAAGTTATAGCAAATCCTACTTAAACTACTGGTTGTTCTGCAGGATAAATTAACTTTTCTTGAGATTGATCTCTCTATAAAATCCAAAACCGACCTGATGTCCCCAAATTTATTTTCCAATGCATCCTGATTTAAAATTCTGCCCTTTTGTGATTCAATTTTTGTTTTCTTCCTTTAGAGTGGCTGTTAGAGGTAGGTGTATGTAAGAAATAGCTAATCTCTAATCATTTCAAAAGTCCTTTGCCAATACTACATGTGCAGATTTTTTACTCAGCATACATTTTACTTTTCTAGTAGATAGGAACTTTGTGCTGCCATTAAAGCTGTCCAGACATTCATCTACCTACTTAATGAACACAAGTAGTTGTAACAATGGATTTCTGTTCCAATTCACCTAAAATAATTATAGTCATTGTGTAATATATTATTAAACACACACATTATACAGTGGTTTTCTTAATAAATTGGAAATTACTTACCTCTAGAAAGAAATGTGTACAAAAACGCGAGTTTGGTTCCAGAAATTGCTTCATGCAAAAAATAATATGCAAAAATAAACATTCCCCCCCCAAAGAAAATTAATTAAACAACAAAATCAGACTAAAAGAAATATAGGGGCCCAAATTAAATTAATTTTAATAAAATGCACATGTTCATAACATTGTCAGTTGTCAGTTTTAATACTTTTAATCGATATTTCTACGTCAAAAAACCAGCAACACCAGCGCCCTCTGAAAATGGTGTTAGTTTTATTGGAGAGAGATAGACATATGTAAAGATCAATGTAAAAGAAAAAGAGGGTCATATATGTAATTTAAATGGACCACCGAACATATTTTCCTATTAAGTTACACGTCTCAGTTGTCTCTGATACAAATCTTCTAAAAAAATGAGAGCGTCGAGTAATCGTAGATGATATGCTCGATGGTCTTATCTTCTTGTTCGCACCTCCTGCGAAGTGCGGATTCTGACAGGCCCATGATATGGAGATGCTTCCGTACTTAGCAATGACCAGTCAGAATGCCTATGACTAGGAACAGATTCTGTCTAATCATAGTCAAGTATTTGTTTGATGCAGTGTTGTCAGGATAACTTAAAAACTCCCTGGCAACTCTGCATTTTCTTGTTTTGTCCCATATTTCCTTGAATTTTACAAGGAAATGGTCTTTAATTAGTTATGTCACTACCGATTATGTCAGACCAATAGAAGGGCCAGGTGCTGTGGCAATCAGTTGAGTTACAGCTGAAGCAAATCCCGTGGATAGAATATTTGAAAATTTCACTAAATTTGTTTTCATTTTGGGGGTTTAAAAATAATTTTCATTATTTCATAATGGTAATTTTGTAATTTATTTGGGGACTTCCAAAGAATTGAATATTTCGTTCTTAAATAAGACTTAATATTTTTCCCCGCACTATTTGCAAGACAACTGAATTGGCACTACTTGAATATCTCAATGGAAGTAGTTCTACATAATCGAATTAAATTACGGGTTTTGAGCTTACATTAAATTGTAATTAGATGAAATAAAATGTAGCTGTTTTTCGAAAGTGCCGAAATTTT